ACACAATTATAGTCCAGTCATCGCTTGTTTTATATATAATTTAGTTTTATTTTTAAAATATTTTATATGTATTAATTTTACATCAATATTGCAATAAATAGAATCAAAACTAACTTAGTTATAACATATCATAAACAAATACCCGCACGACATTGATTTAGAGGTAAAAAAATGTATCTTATTTATTAATTGAAAGTTTTTTTGGTGGGTGGGGGGGGGGGGGATTGAAAGTTTTATAAGGCAAATTTTTCTGCATCCCTACGGTCCATGCTCATTTTTATAGACCTTGGTGTAATATTATCATAAAAGAATTAGATCTTTTTTTTAAAAAATATTTACTTGCTAAACCATGAAAAGTGTAAGAAAGTTCACATTTTACATGTGGACCTTAGGATCACATTTTACCAAAATGTTGATTTTACATTTTCTATGTTTCAATTTAGGTGGTATTTTATGTGTTTAAAAATAAGAAATTTTTATAATAGACGAAAAAAGTATTTATTTAGTAGGTGTCAATATTTAAATAAATATAATCAAACTAACTTCATTTAAAGGTGTAATAAACAAATTCATAATACTTCGTATATTAATTATTTATGAAGAGAATGTTTTGTTTATTATTTAAAAAAAAATTCAATCTTAGTCCAGTCATGTATTGATTTTTAATTTTTTTAATCTAGTTATTGAAATGTATTATTTGTTTTTAATTTTACATTATTATTAAAATAAATAAAATCAAAACTAATTTCATTTTAATATAAACTAATACTTGTATTAAAATTATTTCAATGTGAAAAAATCATATTATTTATTAATCAATTTTTTTTTATAAATGAAGCGAGTAAAAAATATTGTATTGTATTAGAAAGAGTATTTTCATAAAAATGAATGTTTCTCTTTAACAATAAAATTTCTTACAGTTTCTTTCAGTTTTTTCTACTTTTTTTCCAGTTTCTTCCAACATCCAATTCTTTTTTTCCAGTCCTAAAGAACAGGCTCTAAGTGTCATAAAAATATAAAATTTATTTATAAGCAAAGGAAATATTTTATTTAATAGGTGTCAATATTTAAATTTAAATAAATACAATCAAAGGAATATCATGTAAATGTATAATGAATAAATATAAAATTTATTTATGGGCGAGGAGTGTATTTTATTTATTATTCTAAAAATATTTTGTAAATTTTATGATTTAACGAATCCGAGACAGGTATTTAAAATATCTGTACGTAGAGTCCTTAAAAAATGATATTTTATTGAAAGTAATAATTTACACGGAAAATAATTTTAATTCTAATTTTGGATTCATGGCTTCAAAATAAGTAATTACTCCATATCATTTTTGAAAAAAGAGTAAACAATGTGAAATAATGAAAGAGAGTAAATTTGGTTAAATTGTCACCTAATATGCCACATGCAAAGTTCAATGTGTCACATGTCAAGTTTTGAATATGCCAAATGTCAACTTCTTAGAGAATGGAGTCTCCTCTTTAAAAGATTAAAGGATATTTGAGATGTGGGAGAAGACTCCCCTCTTTTCTTTTAACCATGAAGACAAGAACAATTCCATGAGATTAGTTTATTTCGGTTACATGATTCACATCTTCGCTTAATACACGCATGTTCTACAAGTTTTGCATTTTTACTAATGGATGAACTAGTTAGGGCCTGTTCTTTAAGACTGGAAAAAAAGAGCTGGATGTTGGAAGAAACTGGAAGGAACTGGAAGAAACTGGAAAAACTGAAAAAAAATAAAAGAAACTGAAAAAAATAGAATAAATTGAAAAATCTAAAAAAAGTTTTTTTAAAAAAATTAATGTGTGGTTTTATATTATTCTCATTCTTATTCTTGTTGTTATAAATTAATATTATTATTATTATTATTATTATTATTATTATTATTATTGTTGTTGTTGTTGTTGTTGTTGTTATTGTTGTTGTTGACTTGTTGTTGTTGTTGTTGGTGGTGGTGGTGGTAGTGGTGGTGTCATCACGTTATCTTAATGATTGTTTTTAAGATATTAAAAAAATATTATGAGTATTATTTTTCATATATAAAATGCTAGTTTTAAAAAAATAATTAGAATATAAAATTAGCATAAATATCAAAATGTTAAATACTTAAGAGTTATTATGGCTATGTTGTATTTATTATAAAATAATATATTGGTAATTATATTATATATATTACAAGATTTTGTTTTAGATTAATATACAAAAAAGGTATTATTCATATTAAAAAGTTGAAGAAAAAATAATAATGAATGTGAATCATAAAAATAGTGAGATGAAAAAATGAAATAATTTATAAACTATAGTTATGAACATGAAAGTTGTAATAATAATAATAATAATAATAATAATAATAATAATAATAATAATAATAATAATAATAATAATATATTTTTAGAGTGATTTGTCAGAAAGTGGAAAGAATCTGAAGAAAATAAACATAGTTGGAAGAAATTAGAACTGGGAAAAATCGGAAGAAACTGGAAAAAACTGGAAAGAACTGGAAGAAACTAGAAAAAACTGAAAAGAACTGGAAGGAACTGGAAGTGTTAGCGTTTGGGAACATCGTTTTCGATTAGCGTTAACGTTTTTGGAAAAAATTTTAACGGTGAAGATTAGTTCAAAAAATGCTATCACTAAAAGCTACTGACGGATAGCCTTTTCAAACCGCTAACGCTAATCTCTAACGCTGATGCCAAACGGAGCCATTAGTGGTTTGGAGCGTAATATGTAGTGATATTTTCATGTTAGTTTTGTATAATAGACTTTTGGACTAATTTCATGTTTATTTAGCTCACACTTAAATCAAGTAAGACTAAGGCTGCATTTTGTTCAACTTATTTTTCTGTTTATTATTTATTCTTATTAAAATCAGATTAAAATAGACCAGATCTAATCAGATTAAATCAAATCAGATTCAATCAGATGAGATTTACACAAAATTATTATTATTATTATTATTATTATTATTACTATTACTATTATTACTACTACCACTACTAATATAACTATTATTATTATTATTACTATTACTACTATTGTTATTATTGCTATTGTAATTACTATTATTACTATTATTATTACTTTTACTATTATTATTAATAATATAACTATTATTACTATTATTGTCATTATTATTACTATTATTATTATTATAATTACTACTATTATTATTATTACTATTATTATTAATATTCCTATTATTATTATTGGTATTATTATAACTATAATAATTATCATTTAAATTGAATATATATATAATCCTATCAGATCATATTGAATTAGAAGATATCAATTCAATCAAATTAGAACTAATTGAATCAGATCAGACCAAACCAATCTAAAGAGTATGGGGGAAGGGAGGGCCGTGATGGGTAGATAACACCGTTGATAAAGTGATGGTGTTCCCCGTCACACACATCGAACCTCTTTCTCCTTTTTTTTGTTCTTTCTTTTTTCCTTTGTTTTCTTTTCATCACGCATATTTACTTCTCTCCTCTTGGCTCTTTCCCTCCCTTCCTTAGTTCCTTTGGTCTTCACTCCTAGTTTTTTTTGTACTTTAATAATTTTTTGTTTTAAATTCTATTCTTTTTTGTCTAACATTTTATTTTTCTTGGTTAATTAAAAGAAAAAATAAAATTAATAGAATTTTAAATTTAATATTCATGAGAATTGTGTTTTATATTTTTAAGTTTAAATAATTTAAAGTAATATAGTTGTAAAGAAAGAAAAAAGATGGGTGCGATCTATACTCCTAGACAAGGATGTAACGTGATAGGAAAGAAAAAAATGAATATGAAGCTGAGTGACAGGAAGAGATGCCGTAATGAGCGTGATCCACACCCAACAGTCCAATACTAAGTATACAAATTAATTGTAACATCATTAGTCTCCGCTCTTCACTTCTTCCACCTATTTGGATACTTAAAAAGATAACAAAAGGAGTAATATGCGGAGTACTTTATTTGCAAAAATTTATTAGATGAGTTTATATTTTTTTAATGTAATAAAGTCTATTACTCCGTATAATTATTAGTTTGGTCCAAATTTTTTATACACTGCAAGACAATGCCGTTGCTACCGAGTCAAACCTTGATGAGCATTCCATAAAATCTTGGGGAGTGCATTTCAAGCTAAAAGAAAACTCTCATTTAATACAAATACTCTGAACGGAGGTAGTACTACTTTCACCCCGATTTAATTTTTAATTTTGATTTTTTGGTTTTCAATATACATTTATATCATTAATATTGATATTTATATGTAGATATTGATTTTACATTTATATTGAAGAACAATATATTTTTTTATATGTTAAAGTCAAAGTTTACAAAGTTTGATAATAAAAAAAAAATCAAATGAGAAAATAAATAGTGAGAAAGAAGTTATATATATATATATATATATATATATATATATATATATATATATATATATATAGAACATATTTTAATCTTAATTTGAAATAAAATATTGTATGGATTAGTTTGTCACGACTCACGAAGGTTTATTTTCATTTTATTTGATGATTACTACTTCCTCCGTCCCAAATTATAATGCCTATTCATTATTCACAGAGTCAAACTTCATTCACTTTCTTTCTCTATTTTCGTTAGTAATTTGATAAAATAAAATATTGTTGTCATTACTAGTTTTGTAGATTTTTTGATGTAGTATTTTGATATATAATTTTTATTTTTTAACTCTATATCATTTGTCATATAAAATGATTTGAAAATAACTTCAGTCAAACATCGTAAACCGAAACAGGCGTTATAAAATGGGACGGAAGGAGTATAAAATAAAAATTTATATATCTAAAAATTACGTCAAAAATTTTTAGAACAATAGATGCTAATAATATTTGATTTTGTCAAATAATGAATTAAAACACAAAACAAACAAAAAATTCCAATGGTTTTTGAATAATACGGAGTAAAGGTCCCATTTGAGCATTAGAAATTAGTGTTGACATTTTCAAAAAATTATTTAACGATAGCCTTTAGTATTAGTATTTTCAGAATTAATATACGTTATTAAAATTTTATCTGAAACCATTTTCGAAAAAGAGTAAAGTCTAACATTCTTTTTGAATGGACAGAGTACTCCGTATGTCCGTAGTCAATCCTGCTACCAGCATTGATCGGTTTCCCAATTGCGGAAGGCAGAGCTGGCGAATCTCGACGATTTTGCCGGATTCCGACACCCACAAACACCGGCGCGCATTTCGGCACCCCGCCACTCACGGAAGAGCCGCCGATCGTAGACGCCGCGTTTCTCGGGATCCAACAGAGTGGAATACGCCGTATGGATTTCCATGAACTCGCTGGCCGACGATTCCTTCCCCGCCACATCGGGATGACAAGCTCGAGCTCGCCTTCGATACGCCGCCCTGATCTCTTCCCTCGTCGCGCCGATCGGTATCCCCAGCACATCGTAAAACGACGCCGGCTGAGACGGAGATGCCGGTTTCGGAGGCCACTTGAATCTGGAGGTAAACGAGGCAGTGGCCGATTCCGATTCCGTTCCAGCAAACGCCGCCGTAGCGGCAGCGGCGGTGGGAGTGGAGAAGCTCGATCGCCGGAATTTGACATAGGAAGGCGGAGTTGATATCTCCGGAGGGAGTAGCGATGACTGCGTTGGGGAAGGAAGGAGAGAAATGGAAGCCATTGTTAAGCTTTGCAGTTCGAAACAGAATAGAGAGTGCATTGAGAAGAGCGTTGCCGCTGCTGGCCATAAATATAGGGAGATGGGAGGAATTTAACCATGGTTAACCTGACGGAGTTATATAAGTAACCATTCTGTTGGAACTCAGTTACTTTTTCAATTGGCCGGTACGTACAATATCATGTTTTGTATTAGAGTTTAGACACATTAACACAAAATGATACGAAGTATATTTGTACAAACAATTTGTGCAAGTGAGTCGTCCCTCCCTCGTCCTTATATATGGGGTGCACAAACAATTTGTGCACTAAGCATTTATATTCATGTAGAGGTGAAGGGACTATGAAACTAAAAATGATAGGTGCATAGTACTTTGGTGAACACTACTTGTACACCAATATGTTACAGTTAACACAGACAATGATTATTTGTGAGTTTGTGAGGTCGTGTTTGGGTACATCAAATGGTGTACCTATTTGCACACCAACACTCATCACCCTACATTCTTTATATTCATTTATTAATTTTTTTAATCTACGCTCATGTTTGTATGGATGAGATACAATGGAGTACACATTGGATACATTTTTTCTTATATGCGTGTACATAGGCAAATGTTGTTTGTGAATATCTTTAACACACTCGTTTACATCAAAGTGGTGTAGACTTAGAATAATCCCTACAAAACACACATGGGGTAGGGGTAGGCATGAGCCGATTCAACTCTATTTTTTATAAACCCTGCCCCGACTTGTAGATATAGAAACAGAACGGTTTGAAAAGGGTCGTCAACAATTGATAAATAGAATCGATTCTAACTCGGCTTGTTTGAAACCGCCCCAATTCCATGGGTCGAGGAGTCCAAAACAAGCATTTCCAACTTGCATAATCTCCTCGAATTGAGAGCAGTAGAGTATTGTCATATATAGCCAAACAACTCCATAGGAAATAACAATAACAACAATATTCAAAGCAATAGTTTATAGTTCTCCCACAGCATCGAGCATACCAGCACTAAATAAAAAGCCAAATATGAAAAATAATACTCCTTCCGTCCCAAATTGTTTGAAACATTTCGAAAGATACGTAAAATATCATATTTTTTAAAATTATTTTATTTACAAATTAATAGAGAAATGAAAAGTAAAAATTACACTGTTCAAAAGTTACATAAACAAAGTTTACAAAACAAAATGTGATAAGAAAATTTTACTTTATCAAATGGTCAACCAAAACGCGTAAACAAACAAAAGTAATCGAGAGACTGAGATGGTAACCATGATATCCTTTACTTGATTACTACGTATTTGATTAGTTACTTTATATGATTACTTTATTTATTTTGAAAAGTACTTGAGCATTAGAAAAATCCGAACAAGAGAGCATATAAAGTGAGTGGAATAAAATCAATAAAAGTAGTACCCCGAAGTAAACGATTTGATTCTCCAATCACTTTTTTTTTAATTAAAAAAAAATCAAATTTACCAAACACCTACGGAGTATAATCCAATTAATTGCTTTTTTTAAGTGTTTTAGGACTATTGACGATTCAGTCACATGCGAACTTTTAATTTATTTTACATTTACAAAATTTACAATTACAAAAAAACAAGGGAACCGCCGAACCGGCCGGTTCTGGAACCGGCGCTGGCACCGGTAACGGTGCTATGGGGTGGCGGTTCCAGAACTGTACCGGGTCCACCCTAGCCTAAACAAATTTGCAAAAGTCTCTATCAGAAAACAGCTCTCAATCGGGGGGGGGGGGGGGGGGGGG